CCAACATCACTCAACTCGTGAGGTTTCAGTATGTAGTTATCCCCACGCAGGGNATGTGTCCGGCAATCTCCAATACAAATCAACCTGTGAGGTTTCACTATGTGTCTTTCCTCACTCAAAGCGTCCATGTGTCCGGCACTATCCAACATCACTCAACTCGTGAGGTTTCAGTATGTAGCTATCCCCACGCAGCGCGTCTATGTGTCTGGCAAACTCAAAAACCAATCCATCTGTGAGGTTTCAGTATGCAGCTATCCTCACTCAACACGTCTATGTGTCCGGCAATCTCCAATAAAAATCAAACTGTGAGGTTTCAGTATGTGTCTTTCCTCACTCAAGGCGTCCATGTGTCCGGCACCATCCAACATCTCTCAACTCGTGAGGTTTCAGTATGTAGCTATCCCCGCTCAAAGCGTCTATGTGTCTGGCAAACTCAAGAACCAATCCAGTTGTGAGGTTTCAATATGCAGCTATCCCCACTCAGCGCGTCTATGTGTCTGGCAAAAACCAATGCATCTGTGAGGTTTCAGTATGCAGCTATCCTCACTCAACACGTCTATGTGTCCGGCAATCTCCAATAAAAATCAAACTGTGAGGTTTCAGTATGTGTCTTTCCTCACTCAAGGCGTCCATGTGTCCGGCACCATCCAACATCTCTCAACTCGTGAGGTTTCAGTATGTAGCTATCCCCGCTCAAAGCGTCTATGTGTCTGGCAAACTCAAGAACCAATCCAGTTGTGAGGTTTCAATATGCAGCTATCCCCACTCAGCGCGTCTATGTGTCTGGCAAACTCAAGAACCAATCCAGTTGTGAGGTTTCAATATGCAGCTATCCCCACTCAGCGCGTCTATGTGTCTGGCAAACTCAAGAACCAATCCAGTTGTGAGGTTTCAATATGCAGCTATCCCCACTCAGCGCGTCTATGTGTCTGGCAAAAACCAATGCATCTGTGAGGTTTCAGTATGCAGCTATCCTCACTCAACACGTCTAGGTGTCTCGCAATCTCCAGTACAAATAACCTGTGAGGTTCAGTATGTGTCTATCCTCATTCAATGCGTCTATGTGTCCGGCACTCCAACATCACTCAACCCGTGGGGTTCCAGCAGCTATCCCCACGCAACCCGTCTATGTGTCTGGCAATCTCAAACCTCCCCTTTCCGTGGGGTTTCAGTATACAGCTATAATCACTCAACACGTCTATGTGTCCGGCAATCTCCTACATCACTCAACCTGGGAGGTTTTCGTAAGCAATCCCCACTCCCCGCATCCATGCGTCACGCGTCTTTGGTAGCGCATACTATGGGGGCTATGTTTGGGGTGGCGTGTTTTACAGCGCTTTGCCAACAGCGCCAACCCACTTAAGTCAAGATTGTGTGGGGGGGACGGGGGGCGGGGGGGGGTATGCCCTAACTCGCAAAGTATGACACAAAACGCGACCTTCGTTTTCCTCACCTCCCTCAGGCCGACGTCCTGCGCCTCCGTCGGGAAAGTCTTCTCAAAGAACATGAAGGGGAGACCCCCACCCTTCCTGTTGACGAAAGGACGCAAAACAGCTAGCCCTTGTTTGTCGACCTTCGGTAGACTCGCCTTCAGCTGGTCCGATAGGCTGAACTTGTCGCCGCCGGGGTATTTGTGCCGTCTCTTGTACGGGTCGGATGAGTCGTCACGGGGTAGTCCCTCGAACACCCAACCCTTCGGATCGTCCGGGATGGGAGGGGGGGGTGGTTCACCAGCCTGGAAAAGACCAACAACAAACACCAGGTATAATTAGAGGGCAACCCAATAATACACCTGAAATAAGAAAGCGTCGCACAATAGCAACCGAACAACACGCGGCAAAATGGTACAAGCTTATCGCAGTATCGCCTACAGCAATGAGCGACACACGCATTTGGCATTAGTCATGCGTCTACAGCAGTAGTGCGGTCGATGCTGCTCAAAGAGGAAAAATACAAAAATAACACGTGCACACTGGTGTAGGTTATCGAAGGAAATGAAAGCGCACCGTTGTGTAGTTCATGGTGTTTTATCACGTAGGGATACATTGTAAGGGAAAGCACGCCAGCGCTAAAAGGTAGGCTAAGCACTACATATGTTGAGCACCTTTGGCTTTGGGAGCTCGATCCGCTTGAGGTGCCACACACTCTCCTGCGCTCTCCGGAAGCCCTCATCCTNAGGAAATGAAAGCGCACCGTTGTGTAGTTCATGGTGTTTTATCACGTAGGGATACATTGTAAGGGAAAGCACGCCAGCGCTAAAAGGTAGGCTAAGCACTACATATGTTGAGCACCTTTGGCTTTGGGAGCTCGATCCGCTTGAGGTGCCACACACTCTCCTGCGCTCTCCGGAAGCCCTCATCCTCGATATTGGAGGCCTGCGCGTAGTGCAGTTCCTTGGACTTCGCTATGAAAGGACGCGCGCCAGGAGTCTGCAATTCGTCCACGCCACCACCCAACTCCGACTCCGAGTCATAATTGCCTGCCTCGACGCTGCCCCCCACTCCAAGAGCTGCACCTGACGCCGTCTTTCGGCGCTTCTGTAGGCCGTCGTCATGATGCTTGCAAAATCCTGCCGTCCTACATCCAACCTTGTTGCCGCACGTTTCGCCACGTCGTGCGCCGCGGCTAATGAAAGCGACACATACAGCCGGGTTCGCCGGAGAAGAATTCGGTGGGGATGGTTACTGCTGCTGCTGCTGCTGCTGCTGTTGCGCCTCACGCGAGGTCGTAGGGAGCCGGTCCGTGACCGGTAGCTCCGGGGTCCGCTGTTGTTGCCGCTGTGGCCCACCTACGCCGCGGGTGTTGTGACCAGCGTCATGCGAGTTCGCAGCAGATATCGGTTTGTACGATGCGCCCATATCAAACTCACAGTCATCCTCATCATCAGTCGGCACGCTTGGGTCGATTGCATATCCGCTGTCCTCCATGCCAAGCTCGCTGTCCTCAGTGGCCGCGTTCACAGCAAGTGTGGGTGGCTGCCCAAGAGAGACGGCCAAAGCCGATGTCGAGCAGGAATGGCAACTGGCGCTGCCGGCAGCGTACCGCAAGCGCTACCAACAACGCCGCCCAGATAGACGGGGCAGACCACGCGGGCGTGGAGGCCTCCTCATGACCTCTCGGCGCACCTCTGGTGGATGCTCCGTGTTTTTGCAGCTGTGTGTTGGTGGGGCGGGCGCGCTCTACCCTGGTTTGCTCTACAACTCCTTTGCATATGGTTCGGGGTTTCTGTCCTATCCTCCCCTTTTCGACTTGATCGTCTGTTCGGCGCTATTAAAAAAAAATTATGGAAAAAACGATCAATCAATGATCTGTCAGAAGGCCTGTAGCCTCAATAGGGTCAAGTTTGTCAAAGCATCTGGTGGGTTGTGTCTCCTCGGCATCGAGGCTGCTAGTGTCCGTGTGGATCCAGGGTGCCCTTGAAGCTAACGAGTGAAGGGTGAGACAGATAGTGCACAAGCACCACCAAACGCAAATGTACTCCGACTTGAAGTACTGTGGACGAAGCATGGTTGAGACAACGTTTGATGGTGAAGTGTCGGTCTTTCGGACGTAAAAGGCCAAAGGCTGCCTGATGTTCTTGGTATTCTCTTCAACCCATCCACACCATCAACCCCGAAATGACTTTCGTCCCCCCCCCCCCCCCCCCCCCCCCCCCCCCCCCCCCCCCCCCCCCCCCCCCCCCCCCNCCCCCCCCCCCCCCCCCCTCCCCTGTCCGCAGTGCGACGCGACAGATGGCATCCTCTGCGACATCGGCATGCCCGTCCAACACCTAGGCGTACGGTATAACTGCCGCGTGTTCTGCCTCAACCGCAAGATTCTTGCGATTCGTCCCAAGCTTCACCTCGCGGATGACGGAAATTACCGCGAGACCCGCTGGTTTACGACCTGGAAACGGCGGAACGAGACGGAAGACCACACCCTGTGCCGCGGCCTCGCGGAAGTGACCGGGCAGGACAAGGTGCCCTTCGGTCAGACCGCGGTGTCGGCCCTGGACGCTCTCGTCGCGGGCGAGACTTGCGAAGAGCTATGGACACCAGACAGCCCTCATATAGGTCAGGCATTGGCCGGTGTAGATATTATAGGAAACGGGTCGGGCTCGCACCACCAGCTCCGCAAACTAGACACTCGGCTGAACTACATGATTTCAGCGACTGCAAAGTGTGGAGGCGTGTACGTCTACTCTAACCAGCGTGGCTGTGACGGGGGTAGGTTGTACTACGACGGGTGCGCTCTCATCGTGGTCAACGGCGACGTGGTCGCCCAGGCGGCTCAGTTTTCCCTCGCGGACGTGGAGGTTATCACGGCGACTGTCAACCTCGAGGACGTAAGGTCTTACCGGGCTTCGGTGAGTTCTCGAATGGAGCAGGCGTCGGGTGCACGGCGACTACCCACTGTGGAAGCGCCCTCGTTCTGTCTCGGTACCCCCGGTGCCAACTACGTGACCCACCCTCCCACACTGCCCCAAGCGTTGAAGATCCATAGCCCGCAGGAGGAGTGTGTCCTTGGGCCCGCCTGCTGGCTGTGGGACTACCTGCGAAGGTCCGGTAGCGCAGGCTTCTTCCTCCCTCTCTCCGGCGGGGCTGATTCGTCCAGCGTCGCGGCGATCGTCGGGGTTATGTGCGGGCTGGCAATCGAAACGGCAGCAGCAGAGAAGGCGGAGCTTAGCGGTATGGACGACGATGCCAAGAGGAAATCAAAGGAGGGCGTAGCCGGAGTGGGCTCTGTGTCCAACGAAGTGCGACGCCTGATGGGGCTTAAGGAAGGAGAAAAGGTGCCGAGCAGCCCCCGCGACCTTGCCAACTGTGTGCTGCACACGTGCTTCATGGGCACGGAGAACAGCTCCAATGCTACGCGGGCGCGCGCGTCGGCTCTGGCGGACCAGATAGGCGCATACCATAGCAACATCGTCATCGACACCGCGGTGGCTGCCGTTGTGGGAGTCTTCCGCACGTTGACGGGGAAGACACCGCGGTTCTTGTCGAGAGGAGGGACGTCCGCCGAAGACCTGGCGCTGCAGAACATTCAAGCTCGTTTACGCATGGTGATGGCCTACCTTCTAGCGCAGCTTCTGCCTTGGGTTCGTGGACGGCAAGGGTTTTTGCTCGTGCTCGGTAGCGCTAACGTTGACGAAGCGCTGAGGGGCTACATGACGAAGTACGACTGCAGCAGCGCGGACCTGAACCCCATCGGCGGCATCTCGAAGGTGGACCTGAAGAAGCTCTTGGAATGGGTGGCGCGCGAGCGAGGTTACACCGCGTTGGCCGACATTGCGGCTGCGCCGCCAACGGCCGAGCTGCGGCCGCTGGCGGAGGGGGCGGGCGAGGCGGACGAACACAGCCAAGTGGACGAGGAGGACATGGGGATGACGTACGAGGAGCTGTCGCACTTCGGCCGCTTGAGGAAGGTGGCTCGCTGCGGCCCTGTATCCATGTTTCAGAATTTGCTGTCGGCGTGGAGGCATCTCTCTCCCCAGGAGATCGCCTCGAAAGTAAAGCGTTTCTTCATTTTTTACTCCGTGAATCGGCACAAGATGACCACGCTGACGCCTTCGTACCACGCCGAGGAGTACTCTCCAGATGACAACCGTTTCGACCTGCGACCGTTCTTGTACCCGACGCGTTGGCCGCGCCAGTTCGCTGTTATCGATTCCATGTTGAAGGGGCTGCCATCTGGCCGAGTAGATGGCAAGGAGGCGTAGAATCATTGATTCACGGCAATTCGTTGGTGCCTGTCGTCTCCACCCTAGGCGGCAGCTGATGCTGTTTACAGTGTAATTTTTGTGTGGAGCACTCTCTACATGTGTGAATAAAAATCTGGCCGGCACCAATCGATCGCGCAAGGGTTCTGTATATACATGTATGAAGACTTCGATGTAGCCCCTGCCCTCTCGTCATGTCCTAAACTTTTGCCGCCGCGGGCGGCGGGGGGTGCGGCTTGGTGAGGGCAACCCGTGCGTCATGGTCAGCGCCCAACTTGCTAGGTACGAGATTCGTCCGAGTGAAGCCACACTGTTGTACTGAGTATCCGATGAGACTCGCCCTAGAGACGGGCGGCGGCCGCGATGTTGATCCCGTCGTGCAAGCATCGATTGTTTAGTGGTTTCACTATCACAAAAGGTACAGGCGCGGTTAAGTCGCACGGAAATAATCGATTTCCCCACCCCTTGTCTAGACAACGGTGAGGGCGAGGGTGCCGATGTCGAACGATCATTTTCATCTCGACGAGGCTTCGTCGTGATTTTCCGAGTGGAACTCTTTGCGACTGCACCAAGCGACCGACATACGGTTACTACTGCTGTATTCAAAAGTAGTCGATCGTGTGTATATTCAACTCAAAAGAACAATAGAACGGTTTTGACGATAGATGCATTTCGTAGTGTACCCGACGGCTGAGAGCAGGATGCTTGTACGTTTCCTTTTGGTGACAACCAACGCTGCTGCTGGTGTGTAGACTATATTGTTCGATGTAGATGTTGATAACCTCGTCCGATATGACGTGGTGCGTAAAATTTCGTACAAAATGATTTTCCCTGTGACAACAAATTCACAGTGTAGTACGAAAACAACATGCGTAGATTGATAGAGCTGTATGATTTGAACACTTACAGCAGGCCGTCAACGAATGGAATTGTGCGACATGTCCTATCTCAAGTGGTAATTGTCAAGGACCCGATTTTGGTTGTCCCTCCATAACTTTTGACTGAGATCGAAAAAAAATAAAAAAGACATTTTTGGAATGCCCGCAGCAAGGCGCAAAAGAGTAGCGAGTCGCCAGAAAAAAAGAAGAAAAAAAAGAAAGTGCTCGCGGCGGGTCTCGAACCCTCGACGTAGGCCCTAGACCAGCTTTTCACCCACATGTTTTCTTACAGCGGATTATCATTTATCTCGCCAAACCATTTACACGTGTACCGGAAGACCCCCAACCACTTCACAAATGCCTCTGCCGCGCCTATAGCGTGTTCATATCACCCGCAAACTTACTTCCGTTGTAAATATTGCCTATTTTTAACAAAAGCATAATTTTTTTGTACAACATTCCCTCCAGAAAACATGGGGAAAAACCTGAAAAAGTTCACCTCAACGAACAAGATTGCGCCATCCATCTACTCTGTCTCCATTCCTTCGGGGTCGGGCGCCTGTGTGACTTGTATTTCTTGTTCGTCTTTTTGCCTTCAGGCCCTTCTACACGCGTCTCGCGGTACATGAGGGCGTGTATGCCTTCTTGCAGTAGCCCCGGACTACCGGAACAGCCTGCCTATCCTTCTCTGCTCTAAAACTTTGCGGCACGTTATTGCGCAAGCATTCCAACGAATACGTGCAATTCTTGCTAGCCCAGTCCTTCGCCTGTCCCCGAACAAGTTCGATGGGGTTACACTCGCAGTGGTACTTACGAAGCATGAGACAGCCCCCCCCGTGGCGCTGCATTACAACACCAGACTAGAATCGANCCAGAAAACATGGGGAAAAACCTGAAAAAGTTCACCTCAACGAACAAGATTGCGCCATCCATCTACTCTGTCTCCATTCCTTCGGGGTCGGGCGCCTGTGTGACTTGTATTTCTTGTTCGTCTTTTTGCCTTCAGGCCCTTCTACACGCGTCTCGCGGTACATGAGGGCGTGTATGCCTTCTTGCAGTAGCCCCGGACTACCGGAACAGCCTGCCTATCCTTCTCTGCTCTAAAACTTTGCGGCACGTTATTGCGCAAGCATTCCAACGAATACGTGCAATTCTTGCTAGCCCAGTCCTTCGCCTGTCCCCGAACAAGTTCGATGGGGTTACACTCGCAGTGGTACTTACGAAGCATGAGACAGCCCCCCCCGTGGCGCTGCATTACAACACCAGACTAGAATCGACTTCCTTGAAGTCTTTCTGCTCTCCTAGAACGTGCTCCATGCTCTTGCTGAGGTCCTGCTTTTCGCCTGAGCCCCCGGTCTTACTCATGCCTTTGACCAGGAGCCCCCTCTCCCACAAGATCTGCCGCATTCCTTTCAGCTTTCCGACATACCCGGCCTGCCGGAGATGGGGGGAGTGGAAGGGGGGGGCGTCTCCCCTCCGGAAAGTCAAGTGCTGTATCGTGCCCGCTGGGAGGTTCGGGGTGTCTTCGAGGATGGTCACGGAGTCCATCGGCGCAAGCTCTTCTCCGTTCCTCACACCACCAACACCCAAGTTCATGCTCTTCACTGACAGTGCGCCGGCCTCCATGCAATCATGACAGGACGACCAGTCGAACAGGCATAGTCTACAGGCTTGTGCTCAGGGTAGAGAACTGTGAACACGTCGAGTACGTCTGACATGTGGTCCAGCATCTTGAGCCCGGTCCAGTATCCCTCCTTGTTCTTGCCGTAGTACTCGAAGAGGTGGAGGGACCAGTACCGTCCGTGCTCGTCTTTGTGCAGCATGTCGATAGTAGGGCGGAACTTCTCGACTTTCACGTTTTCCCCCCGCCGCTTCGCGGCAACTGAGGCAGCGCATCGTTTCCTGCGGTTGCGCTCCGCCTCCTTGATCTGTTCCCGCGATGCCGAGAAGAAGCCGAGGTTGTGGATGATCGTCCCCGACACCATGATCCCCTGGCCTTGTTGTGACTTCTTGACGGGCACGTGCTGGCCGTCCAGATACCACGCGTACCTCTGGTCGTCGTTGGCTGCAGATTCGAAAAGGATACCGATAATTTTGGGCGGCGGGTGTGGCATTGTCAACATCTCTGTGGTCACAGCCCCGAAATTATGTTGAATTGCGTGCAAGATTAGTCTACTATTCACGTCCGGAATACATTTACAAATCAGTCGCGCCAACTTTCTCTGTAAAATGAAATAGACTAACCTCGAAATATGCTTTCGTCCTGGTGGGGAAGCATGGCCCGCCTCCCGTCGGGGTAGGTTTTCTTGCTCTGCACTCTGGCTTGCAGGCCTGCGGGCAAGTCTGCCAGCGCTGCCTCGAGATCATCGACACCAACCCAGACACCACAATCCGGCAAGCGCTCAGACTCCTCCACCGCATCAACGTCAATGCCACAGGCGACCGCTTCCTCTTTGCCCATTGGAATCCACACCTCCATGTAGTCGCGGGCCTCGAACAGCGCTGGCAGGAACTGACTGCTGTAGGGTGGAGATAATCTCTTGCTCGAGCTCCATTCGGTTGCCGGTCTTCACAACAACATGTGTACACCTCCCATGTGCGGTGTCAGCTGCTGCCCAAACCAACGGTCGGACTGCATATATAGACTATATATGTCTATATTTTTTAATTTTCTTAATTATCCATCACACAACAAATCAATCTATCTATAGAAATACGTCTAAGATAGATTAGCAATGAATCCATAGTGTGAGCGAAAGTCTACCTGTATGTCTATGGTTTCCCAGACAGCATGCAACGATAACTCCCCTGTGGGTAACAGGCTCAACAAGGCAGCTTGAATTTTTCTTCTTGATTGATTTCGACCTGGAGCTCGGCAAAACCGGGTTCAGAGCCAGGTGATCTAGAAGCAACTTTTGGCGAGGATTCCAAAATGTCTATGACTCTTTTCTATTATGGAGATGGACTCGTTGTGTCATATCATAAAAAAGATGTACATATGTATTTTTTTTTTCAGAGGTGGTGGGGACCCGGGAAATCGAGATTTTCTAGGTCCGCCGCGTTTTCGGCGAAACGGTATATTGGACATAACTCGTCACCAACATGTGTGTGAAAGCTAAAAATAGGTTCATTCGAAAGCCCTGGTCCGTGGCTTTCGAATGGTATGTATTTTGTTGGGTAAATGACCTGGTTGCAAAGAAAAATCAATCAAGATGCCTGCGGGCGGGTTTTTGACAATTACAACTTTAGGCGAGCATCGAAGTTGTTGTTGTTGTTGTTGTCTTCACATTAAAAACCATCCCGGTCTCTCTATCCAGTACCTCCTTCTGTCTCAATCTCTCCGTACTAATCCATCACTTGACTCGGCCAATTTCCGTGGTCACAGGCTAACGTACCTAGAAAAGGTATACCAAAATAAAATGGACCCCAAGGGTCAGCAGAGCGATAAAATACAAGAAAACAAAATATAATCAGAAACAAATAAAATAAAATAAAATAAATAATTAGACTAGTGGAACGGCCGCACCACCAGCCTGGGGGGGTAGCCTCCCACTACATGGAGGCAGGTCGACGGCCAAAGGAAGGGGCGGGGGTACGTGCCAGTAAAAAGTATGTACAAACGATTACAGAAACAGCAGTTTGTTGCACCGTTGTTGGTGCTTTCGATTCCCGCGCCGATGGGCGTTGTGCCCGTTCACGAACGTACAAATACCGAATATGTATGCATCCCGCTGTATGTGCGAAGGGATTTCCCCCGCAGCAGGCCTAGACTATGCTACATCCAGAAACACGATCATGAAAAAAACACATCGCAAAACACCACACACGGAGGATGTACTTGTATCAGATCAACTTGTGCAACACGATTTCAGATTTTTCTGCATATAGTCTACATGTAGTTCAATTCTTCGACTTTTTTGACGCGTTTTTTTTGCTGCTGTCCTCAAGGTTTCGAGCAGAGCTCAAAACCGAGGTCTTTTCTGAGCCCCCGTAAATACAAGCACCTATACTATCGGCAGGCAGAGGGTGTCGGTCGCGAACAAGGGAAATCAACCGAAGTGAGCGTTCCCAACTGATTTCGGAGAAACGGTGTTTCTCACGGTTCTCGCGGCGTTTCGAAGAAACTCCGAAAACCGTCGTTTTTGCCGAGGCTACCACCACACCACTAATTGAGCACACAGCAGCCAGCAGACCCAGAGGCAGCAGCCGCCAACAAGCGAGGACACCCTGTGGATCGCCTTCTCGAGCCTTTGGCATTATGTCGACGAACCAAACTGCTGTTGTGTGTCGCTCTATCGNTCTCGCGGCGTTTCGAAGAAACTCCGAAAACCGTCGTTTTTGCCGAGGCTACCACCACACCACTAATTGAGCACACAGCAGCCAGCAGACCCAGAGGCAGCAGCCGCCAACAAGCGAGGACACCCTGTGGATCGCCTTCTCGAGCCTTTGGCATTATGTCGACGAACCAAACTGCTGTTGTGTGTCGCTCTATCGTTCTTCACTTTTCTGAAATCGGCCGTACACAGCCGGTTTGGGGATACATCTGCTCCTCCCGGGGACAAAATCATGCTGTCCCCGCGTCTCGAAGGTCCCTTTGTTCGCATACACGTCCCCAATCGTATAATAACATACAGGCATTGTGTAAACATAGGCGTTTTTTTTTGGGGGGGGGGCTGTATCATGTAGTACGCCAAAGTTCTGCGAAAACTAGCCCTCGCCTGTGGAAAATCTCATTATTACATAACAAGCCCGGCTTATCAATTTTTCACGCTGGGGATGACAACAATTGATCCCTTGGGTCAAAAATATATATATTTTTTGCATGATGGAATACGATATGAAGACCACATGCTGAAGGTTAGACGCTTAAACACCCGTTTTGGGCACATAATCGCAATATTTCACATCGGGCTATTGCAGTTGGATTTTCGAACTGGGCTTATCTTCTGGCGCGGAGGAAGTATATTCTTTGCGGGAGAAGGACTTCGGACGCACCAGCAAAGCAGTCACGTCAAAAATGAATAGTCTCCCCCAACCTTCTTTACGTAGACTTACAGTTCTGGCTCGCCGTTCGTTGTGAAAAACAATATCGCTGATAACCAACGCATGACAACAACACCCTAGATATACCTTCACTGCTGTGAAAGTACACATACATACCGCCCAAGCCCGGCTGCCCCCCACATCCACACATCCCCGTCTCCCCCTCGCTCTAAACCAAGGAGGCGTGTGTGTCGAGGTTCTGAAACCGTCACGTGTATTTTTCCCAGGAGCTCAACGGTTTACATAATTACTTGGGCCCCAAGCGTGGAATCTCACACACAACACGTCGTCCGAAGGCGGCAGCGTGTCCTTTGGGTCGGTTCGAAGCCAGGGTACTGGTCAGAGGGGCCGTGCCGCTCATGTTGTGGCTGTGCCAACCGTCAGTCTTGGATGCTTGACGTCAGCAAAGAAAGGTGTGCGGTTGTTGTGCATCGACAACCTTGTGTACCTAAGTGGTCGCGATACTGCTGCTGCAGGATTTCGAGGACAGTCTCGATTACAAGCGCTTGAGGGCAAGGAAGTCGGGCATGCACCCAAAAATGATGGCTCGAAGGAAGGCCTGACAGAGAGGCGCGTAGCTGTGTATTCCTCTTCTCCACACCGTGGCTCGCTCGGCCTTTGGAGTGCAGCCAGATGATATATCCCACGCAACACCACGGGGCGTTCGAAAAGGGCAACGAGACTCCTGGTTATGACCACAGCAAGGAAGCCGTGTTCAAGGCCTGCGGGAAGACGTTTAAGTATGCTAAGACTTCCCTTTACGTCTTCGACGAGCTGAACCCTGTCCGCGTGGCCTGCGTTAAGACCATTGCCCACCCGTGGTTTGATCGCTTTATCCTGTTCCTCATCGTCCTGAACTCCTTCGTGCTGGCGCTGACGGATTGGTCTGTGATAGACGACGATCCTAACTCGCCAGATGTGGGGGAGCCCATCGATGACGGCTCTTGGCGAAATGCACTTCTGTTTGAGTCGGAGGCAGTGTTTACCGCCTTTTTCACGCTGGAGTTCGTGCTCAAGGTCATCGCGCAAGGGTTCTATCTTGGGCGAGGATCATACCTGCGAGACTCTTGGAACATCCTAGACTTCATGGTGGTGGTCACGGCGCTTATGACAAGTATACCCGGGATGCCGAAAATGACGGCAATCAGGGTTTTTCGGGTGCTGCGACCACTGAAAAGCATTTCTGCGCTGCCCGGGCTGCAGAAGTTGGTGGTGGGCATGCTTAGGTCTGTGCCACAGCTGGTAAGTGTGGTGATTCTTCTCCAATTTATCTTCACGGTGTTCGGCATCTTTGGGATTCAGATCTTCGCGGGCAAGCAGCACTCTCGGTGTCGTCTTACTCCGTTCCCAGTCAACAACAGTTTTGAGGTGAGGGCACGAACGATATCATCCGTTTGTCTATTGACGTCAAAGAACGTATTTGCAAGTTTCCCGCTGGCGGTGCTGTGGTAGAGCACAACATTAAATCCGTTGATATAGACAACTTCGAGCGCGTCACCTCGTACTGACTCTCCTTTTTGGAGTTGCCGGACTTTATGGCAATAGAGGCCGGCACAGAAAGGAACAACTGGGTCTACACGGGCAGTTCGTGAGAACCACAAGAAAGATCATCACCACAGCCCCGCAAAAAGGTGTATACTTACAAGGGGATTCGCGTTTGAAGTCTTGCACAATCGCGCACCTCTTCCAACCAAGCTTGGGCACCACATCACCCCAACAGTTCGGTCCTCCCCGGGCGGAAGAGGAGAGTTTTTTCCGGGACTCTATTTGCTGCTTTTAGGAGATAATACCGAGCAAGGACTTTGCCCGGGAAACTGGAATATACGTAGTGGTTGACGTGCGCGCGGGAGGGGGGGGTCCACCCCGTCGTGCACGACTCTATTGTTGATTTTTACGAACTGTGGTTAGCCGTGCATATTTCAACAAGCTTCATGCGATACTCTGCAATGTAGAATTGTAGGAGCGCAAATACAAACGAAAGTACGTCTGGTTGGCGAAAGGAGTTATCGCTGCCTTCGTTCTCCTCTTCTCTGTCCCCTTTTCCATGCTTCGATGCGCTGCGCGCGTGTATTAAATCAATACCGCGTCGGTGGTGACTGTCGTGCCCGCAGGTCGGGATGAACTACGCGGATTACCGATGCCTCTCTGTGAGCAACTTCGACGTGGTAGACGACGAGCCTTCGTGGACACAGAGCACTAGTCCCTGGGCCACGCCTCGCGAGTGTTGGTGGCCGATAGACTCGGAGGACGAGCGGCTTTGCACGTCCAACTCGGGTTCGGGCAAGCACAAGTGCGAGCATGACGAGAGATATATGAACTTGAGCGAGTTCAGGTGGTGCGGGAGCAACTACGATGCACTAGGCAACCCGCGCTTTGCGGGCGGGATGATCGAGGGGGTGGAGTGGGGATCCGGGAGGTTGACGGACAACGCAACCTTCGTGCAGAGTCTGAACTGGGGCTATACGAATTTCGACAACATCTTCGTCGCTTTCTTGACTATCTTTCAGAGCATCACCATGGAGGGATGGTCAGACATACTTTATCAGGTGCGTCGCGTGCTTTCTTGATCCAGTGTACACCGCCGGAGAATACCACCCGTCACCGCAACTTGAAAGATTCGGGTGTTTTTGTTCCTAAACGTGGATAGTCTATGAAGTACGAAAGTGCCTCGGCTTCCTGTGTGTCGGAAGCCCCCGCCTGGGCAAGAATCATGGCTCCTGTAGATAAACCAACACGTCGAGCATGTCTCGATGGTGATGTTATCTTTGATCGCTCAAGCCAAACCCCGCTTCCTATCTCCGCGTGTCATACCGTTGTGACGCTTTCATCTCACCAGATAAAGGATTGTAGCCTTCCTATCCTCGGAGACGTCTTCTTCATCATCCTTATCCTGTGGGGGTCGTTCTTCACTCTCAATCTACTCCTGGCTGTGCTGGAGGGGAACTTCACCAAGGGCAAGGAAGACGACAAGGTGATGAGCCTAATGTTCACTGGCGACTACATTTGCAGTTGTAGACACAAAGCCACGGTCGATCCGCTATCAGTTGCTTCATTGCGGTACGAAGTACATTTGGTAGAATCGTGACTTGTTTTGCCGGATGCGGTCGGCAAGGAGGTGCTGTACGTGCGGCAGGTAGTGATGGAGGGGCAGGCTCACTTAAACTGCCTGCACACATTAACATACGTATGCGTGCTATTCTCCACCAACGTGCATGGTTGATTCTAGTCTATATCCTGAGGAGAAGTGATGGGGTGTTGTGTGCAACAAAGACGGCAAAACAGCACCGAAGCTTGCAAGACCATTATCTTGTGGAAGTGATGGAAGGGTCCCCGAGAGACAAAGCAGGTTGCTCTCCCATCAACCCGCTGTAAATACTTCCTGGCTTCCACAATTCAGTAAGAACAAGATGGTTTACTCAGCAAGTACAGTACGTTTCAAGCCAACCTCTTGCAGGAAAATTCAAATGTTTGAGTGGATGAAAGCTTCCAGCGTGCCTCCCGGTACTTTTCTAGAGCGATGGCGGGAGCCTTGCTCACGTGATGGGGTGGACACATGTAACAAATGCGTCTCATCAATAGAGTGATTGTTATGTGCTCGGGGATAGGAGTCGAGAGTACTGAAGAATGTGATCTGTCCCAAGCTCCTTCGTATAAACGAGCATACGGCTAGCAGACGCCGATTGAATTTGATGCGAGTCGAAAACATCTCCAGTACGATTGAGCTCTATTACTTGCGCCGGAATACTGCAACCTAGAACCGATTGCAAGAAGAGAGTCTCAACGTCTCACATGTAGTCGAGTTCGTAGTCGCGCTTTTATCCCGAGGAGTAGCACCCAGCAGACAAGAGGAGAGGAACACTATTTCCCGCTCAATATTCATTGTCACTCTCTCCCACACACTGAAAAATGCACTTGGTGTGGTGCAGGAGGCTGAGGAACGACATCGGCAGGCACTGTGGGCTGACGAGGGGACGAATGGAGCTAGTTTTATCGATGAAAACGAGCAGGATGAGGGGGGGGGGGGTACTGGCAATAACGAGCTGCAGGATGTTCCAACCTGGCGCCTGGTTTTGCGGCGGTTGGTTGACCACGTCAAGTTTCAGGTGCGGTATCAGGCAAATCATTTCCTTCCAAGCTGTTCCAAACGAAGATGGGGGGACGGGAGGAAGGTGGTCCATCAGTGAGTCATGAAAAGGGATATGCGCCGCGGTACCGTGACGCAAGTGATCCATTGGGACGTACCCCACGCTGCTCGAGGGGAGTCGAACACCCTGCATTGAGCGTCGGGAAATTCGGTGTCACGTCTTTGTCAATAAGCTCTACTTTTACTGTTGTCTACGGGAGGTGACAAGTGGTGACTGTGAAGGAAAGCGCAGCCATCGCATCCCGGAATTGGGTCGATTTTCTGAGCACTACGGTGACCCTCATATATGTACTAGCCCGCGCCAAACCGTCTCCGTATCTACAGCGAATGCACTTGACACGTGTCGGCGATGACATTCAAGTGGAGGGTGCATCCTCTACGGCATCAGTGGTAGAACGGACTGGTTGGCCCGGTATCCCGAATATTTGTCTCTTGTGAGAGCAGCCCCCACGTACGGGGGAGAGAGATGCCCCGAGGAAGCGCGAGGCGTGAGCAGGCTGCTACCTCTCGTGGTTTCCGTGCAAATCAAATACCCAATGTTCCAATAGCTTTTTGCTTTCCCCAGAGGTTGCAGCCGTCCTTGCCTTTGATCGATTGAAACCCCGACCTACTACGGCCCCAAGAATCCAAGTCTTAGGGATTGCTGCCATTGCACACGCTTCTCTTTGACTCGGTACAGTAGTAAGCGCCGATGATTTTCCAGCGCGAGCATCTCAACGTGGCGAGCGGAGGTCGCTAGTAGCAGTATCCGATGAATCTTCGTGTAGGCTAGGGCGTGAGAAGTTGCCACGGCTGCCTACCCTTAACGACAATCAAGTGGGGACTAAGAAGATGCAGTGTAGAAATAGGGGCGCCCTTCGTTTACTGTGCAGGCGACATGGACTTCCCGCTCACCATTGTCCATCACGATACTTCCTGCGTGCTGCGCATTCCGTTACTGATGCGCAAACCTCGTTTGGGCGGCACACACCCCGTCCATGTATCGACTATGTACGCTCAAGCCTAATAGCCTATGATTGGTTCCATATCAAGAACAGTTGGCCTGTTCTTCCCGCAAGTGCATCACTGAGACGACTACATGCGCCTAAAGAGGCGCCTCTGGAATCGTGGGCAACAATAAATCGGAAGGACGCGAAATAGCATATACAAAATGGGTTTGATGTCCAAGAGACCCTGAACGTCTTGTATTCACCCCGCGGCCATGGCACAGAAACCACCGATTAGGCACAAATACAGGGAGTTCAGTGCGTTCGATTTGTTTGTCGATCGAGCTTGGAACTAGTTACTATGTGGGGAGCGGCACATCCATACATGATGTGCAAATCATCCCTGAACCTTTACCTCGTGCGGCACATGTGGTGTTATGTACTTGTAGTACAGGATAAAGGAATGTGCCACAGCATTTCCCTCAGTTTCGTTTTATCCCTCGGACGAAAATACGACAAATTTCTTACCACATGTTATCGCCAACTCTTTTCAAGCCCTGTCTGGGGGAAATGAAGCTCAGCGTGCTGCATTTTTTACCGTTCATTGGCTTTTTCCTTCTTCCTACGAAGCCCCCACGACCAAAAATACCCTTTAGTCAAAGAAATGACAACATCGTTCATGTCCCCATCCAAGTCACAAACCCCACCAGCAACAGAAATTTACGTGTGACCTCGACCCGATAGCCGTCTGATTCCCGCCGCCGTTTCCGAAAACTCGCCCCACTTTGGCAGAATTCGATCACGCTCTTGATCGTACTCAACACGCTGGTGCTGGCCATGGATCACCACCCGATGGATGAGGAGTTTTCCACATACGTAGAGGTCTTCAACTTCGCCTTCTCTCTGTGCTTCATGCTAGAGATGGCCCTCAAGGTGGGCCTCTATCGGGTGATTTTCATTGACTACATATGACGGTATCAAGCCAGACAACGATTCCGCGTCACCACGTTCTAGTAGTGTGTTTCGCAACGTTCCCTGCAGCAATGCAAACTGTAAAATATAGGACTCAGGAACGTAGCCAGCAAGCGCGTGCCGCGACTTTTAAGAAATGTTTTCCTATCCAATTGTTTTAGGATATCAAGTGACCTCTTTCACGAATCTAACTTGCAGATTGCGGCACTTGGACCCCGGGAGTACGCAAAGGACAACTTCAACCTGTTCGACGGTTTCATCGTTATTAGCGGGTTGCTGGAGCTCATCCTCTCGCCACCCGATATCTTGACTGGCGAGACGGGGAATACTTCGGGCGGAGCACTTTCGGCGCTGAGGTCGTTCCGCCTGTTCAGAGTTTTCAAACTCGCAAGGTGGGTTAACTGGGTGGGCTCCAAATCGTATATCATGACGGCCAGGGAAGTCCGGGGTGACGAGAATGGCGGGGAAGGGTTGTTGGAGTTACTGAAATGCACGCGATGAGTTGAGTAAAACACTTTCGAGATATTCGGAAAAACTATTTTTTCTACGGTGACAGGTAGATTCCAGGTGCTACAGGAACGGCTACATGACTTGTTTTCGGAAACGGCAAAAACGCTATTTTTCTCATCGGAAGCTAGAAATAAGGAAACAAAGGTTTCTCTAAAGTGCTATTTGCTAGACAATATTTCATGGCAAGGACGCCCCTCCCGTTACTGCAGTTACAGCAGTTGTGAATATTTTCTCTGGCGACGCTTGAAGATGGGACTTGAAAGGGTACTCATGTCAACTAAAGAGGGAAAAGTCTTGGCCCAAGGAGTGTGGTGCCCAGAACAACTCGTGGAACCCTAAGACCTTGACCTTGTCCGTTGCTGGGGGCAACTGGTAACTGATTACTCCCCCTTTCTCAGGGAGTGGCACTCCATGCGCGAGCTGCTCAACACGCTGGGAAAGACGCTGCTAGACATCGGCAACTTTGGGATGCTCCTGGTGCTCTTCATGTACATCTACGCCCTCGTAGGCCTGCAGTTTTTCGCCAACCGCTTCCGCTTCAACGAAGTCGGCGAGGTGGTGGGAATAGGCGAGCCGGGCTACTACACCGCGGAAGTGCCAAGATCAAACTTCGACACTCTCATGAATGCGTTCACTACGATTTTCGAGGCGAGTCGCTGTTCTACCGTCTACTACACGTAGATAACCAGACCTACCGGAGGTTTGTCGAAGAGCATGTTAACCTGAAGCTGTATTTAACCTGAAGTTTTGTCTCAATAACCACACAAAGCGTCAAATCTAAATCCACGGATGCGTTACTTGTGCGACCGACAGGCCGGCCTTCTCGAAAGGATCAGGTTTCGCGGGGAGACGCTGATGTAGAGTGTGCCCCACAGTCTACGCCCCCCAGCGCCCCCCTCGCATTCCCCCCTGCTCGCGTCCGGTCTAACTACTGCTATTGTCCCGTATCTCGGGAAAACGTAAACCAACGACGGCACCCGTCAAACTAATCATCTGTTTGTTTGGGAATCCGTAACGATTCCGCTTCCAGATCCTGTCCGGAGAGAACTGGAACACGGTAATGTACGACGCCCGACGAGCGACGGGCTGGGTAAGCGTCTTCTACTTTGTGAGCCTCATCATCATGGGAATGATGATCGTCATGAACCTGTTTTTGGCCATCCTTCTATCCAACTTCACCAACAAGGACGACGTTGACGCGGAGGCCGGCGGTGGTTCGGGTAACGGCGAGAACGCGGGGCCACCCGTCGAACACCCGGGTAGTCCACGAGTGGCGCCTTACAACCCGATTTCACCTCCTCCCTCCCCACAAAGGCCGAAGTTGGGGTCCAGCAAGTCTCTGACAAAAACGCTTGCCAATCAACAGAGCTTCAAGCCAGGCGGTGACGGGACCACGGGTAAGCTAGTCACGATATCATCCAACGTCGGCAGAGGCGGTGACGACGGGAACGAAATTAAGGTCGGCAGCGGAAGGCCGAAATTCGTGGTTCGCGCGGGGCGGGCGTGCAAGCGATTCGGGGCAGACATGTACGAGGCCTGCCGTAGCGCCATCTTCGGGCTGAGGGTTCCCGATGACCTTGACCCCGGGAAGGCGCTGTTCGTACTCGGACCGGACAATAAGCTGCGGCAGGGGTGTGCCGCCGTGGTGCACAACCCCGGCTTCGACCGCTTCATCCTCCTCCTCATCTCCGTTAGCTCACTGGCGCTGGCGCTAGACAGCCCCCTGCGGAACCCGGAGTCCGCGACTGCCAAGTACTTGAAAGGCGTGGAGCGGGTGATGACGGCCCTGTTTTTTATCGAGATGACCCTTAAGATCTGCGCCCACGGATTCGCGCTCATGCCGAAGGCGTACCTGCGGAGCGCGTGGAACATCCTTGACTTCGTTGTGGTGGTGATTTCCATGATCCAGCTGATCACGAACGATTCGGGGAATCTCGAGAGCCTGCGGTCTCTGCGCACGCTGCGGGCACTTCGACCACTAAGGTATCGTATCTTCATCGTTTGTCGGCATGCCCGAGTGTGTCATGACTTTATCGCCTGAACCACCTTCTTTTTGCATAACTGCGTGGAGGTGAAGAGGCATAAACAAGTAGGATTAAAATACGCAGGGGTGTGCTTTAGCAGCAGGCAGATAGATCCCCGACCTTGAGCCACAGGTGTGGCTTTTGTCGCCGCTTCTTGAACGATGTTCCGTTTTTTTCACGAGCAAGCGAAGAAAGCGCCGTAGTTAGGGTTTGCAACAGTATCCAAGACAGAGCTGTAACACCCCCTCTAGAATTTTGCGACCGAACTCGTCCCCCGCTCCTCGTGCTGTTTCTCCCTCCAAAATCCCATTCTCGCACCAAAACAGGATGATCAACCGAGCACCGGGTCTCAAGATAGTCCTGAACGCCCTGTTCGCGGCCATTCCCGACGTGCTAAACGTGGCGGCGGTGTGTTTCATGTTCTTCATCATCTTCGCTATCCTAGGCGTCAACTACTTCAAGGGCATTCTCATGTCCTGCCAGGGGGAAGAGTTCGATGCTCTTCCCGAGAGCGTCGCTCTGTTCATCGAAGAACCGACTTCGTGGGACGCTATGTCGGCTGACCAGCAGTCGTGGTTCGGCCCTCTCAGCAACATCTCCGCGGCGTTCTCGATCAACGGCACCGGTGGCTTCACCACCGCGAGCGCCTGCGGGAGTATTAGCGCCGGCTGGCCTGACTCCGGCGGGTGTTGCACGGAATGGCCGTCTTCTGCTTCGAGCGTTCCCACCAGCTACCAGGTGCGTTCATGGTTGTTTCCAACACATATAGGCTGCCCCACCAAGCTTGTTAGCAAATAAGGGGGGGATGGATGTTTAGGAGAACCGAACATCAACCGACGCTACAGTGAAATGGGAGAAATGTACCCACGGCGCCCCTACTATCTATTTGATTATCAAGACCGTTGAAGTGGTGACCTCGTCCAGGATGCACCACCACGATCGACGCATTCATGCTACCACCGCGAGTAGGATTGACACGTATCGACAAGAAAGGAGCACCCCATCCGACAGCACGAGCTCATACTACACGCGACAAGCACGCACATCTTTCACCCTTTGAACCGGTCACAACATACTCAACAAGTATGAATGTTGATCGCATCCCAACGAAAGGAAACACGATGTTCACTCGACCGAACTCCAACATTATAACCACATCGCCACGCCTCTGCAGGTGTGCGAGTGCCTCGGCCTGGATTGGGATCAGACGGTTCCACAGCAGTTCGACAACGTCGCTCAGGCCCTGCTCACGTTCTTCGAGATTTCCACGACGGAAGCCTGGACGTCGGTCATGTACGCCGCCGTAGATGCGACCGACGTGGACATGCAGCCAATCAGGGACAACCGCGTGATGATAGTCTGGTTCTTCATGCTGTTCATGCTCATCGGCTCGTACCTCGTCATGAATCTCTTCGTCGGTGTCATCATTGACAATTTCAACAAGGTGACTGACTGGCTACGACAACAGTATCAACGCTTTCTGAATAGAATACCGTAATCAACATGGTATCTCCTCTTTTAGAGGCTTAGGCCGAACACAATCCCGTTGATCTACAAAGCATATTGCAGCTGCTAGGTGTGTTGCTACAGCAGCCATCGGTAAAGTTATCGAGCAGTCGTGTCTTCCGTAGACACCAAGAGTATTGGAATAGTCGTACCAGTCCATACACGCCCACGAATGCAACATCTAGAAACTCCCGCAGAGGTAAGCAAGAAGTTTCTATTGATACCCTTCTTTCCGCCGGTCTCCCCTCATCCATAACACGCGCGCACGTCTCATCCCCGATTCCTGTGCTCTACGCCCTCTGCAACAAAGATGAAATCTAGAGCCGAAGGTGACGGAGTTCTCGTCACGGAGGAGCAACAGTCCTGGATCAAGACGCAGCACATGACGCACCGCCTGAGGCCATTGAAGCGTGTCACTCTGCCCGGGGATCCTGTGGGAGACTGGTGCTACAAGGTGTCACACCACAAGTGGTTCGATGCGTCCGTCATGATTTGCATCGTCCTCAACACCATCGTCATGGCAATGCAGTTCTTCGGGCAGGGGACTGTGTACACCAGGTCAGGCGAATCATAATCAGGTCTTGGAGTGACGTCGCGTCAAGAATGCTTAGGAACGGCTTCAACCTGCGCCGAAAGATGTTGGTACAACAACATGTACACCCCTAGGGGAATTCGATTAGTAACTTTGATGGCGGGTGAAAGAAATTGGCGAACAACCCGGCAAGATGCAACCATTGGTTGGAAATGCCGGCAATCAAAGCATCGAGGTCCAGATATTCGATGCAACGAAAAAAGACAAACGAGAGGACATATATTCTCTGAACAAAATGATCATGTCACGACGCACATCAACAATGGCACGGCGCCCTTTCAACCCAAATCTCCCTACGCGTGATCCTCACTTCCCTCTATTTCCGCCATCGTGCCGCTACAAACACGCCACAAATACGTTGTAGGTGCATCGAGGGAGCCAATTATAGTTTCTCCTTCATCTTCACTGTTGAAGCAATCATCAAGGTGAGGGAAAAACCCGCAATGGATGGACTTGGGGGAGCGTCTCATTCGTTTCAGTCAGTAGGGCGTTAGCGCGGGACTGTCATTCTTGACGTCTCATGGTGTCGGAGATCCGTCAGAACAGTTACCAGATATGAAATCTCATCATTCTCAAACGCCTATTTAGTCATCTATACAGGTACTACGTAGATTGTACAGTACTGCGTTGAGCAAAAGACTACCAGCAATTAGCGACGTCGATATCGTGTACAATCGCACCCAACGGCAACACTCACCTGAAAATCCTTTGTGGGCGTTTGGCAATACGCCATGCTACGGCCTTCAACAGATCCTAGCATTCCGACGGGCGTACTTCATCGACCCGTGGAATCGCTTCGACATCTTCATCGTCATGGGCACCAACCTCGGCCTGGCGATGCTGTGGATGACCGGACGGAGCTACGGCTCCATCGCCACCATCATCCGCACGTTCCGAATAGGACGCGTGCTGAGACTCGTGAGGGGTCTGGAGTCGATGGCCCAGCTGTTCAACACCCTGCTGCTGACGTTGCCCAGTCTCGGAAACGTCGGAGCTCTCTTGTTCTTACAGTTTTTCATCTACGCGGTCATGGGCGTGCAACTGTTTGCTACGGTAAGCGAGCCGGGGCATTTGTTCTCTTCGCTATGGACTCATAATGGTTATGCCCTTATCATGGTGTGTTCTTGTGGCATGGTGCGGGAATAAGTGCTTTTTTTTTCTTTTGGAAGACCGTGGTATGCTTTCTTCCATCAGTTCATGAACAAGAAATTCGGCCTTGTTTGCCTCCACAGGTGGGACTGAGGGGCGCAGTGGACGAGCAGGCCAACTTCCAGACCTTCTGGGGGTCGATGGTGCTGCTGCTGCGGTTCAGTACGGGTGAGAACTGGAACGGGTTCATGTACGACATGGTGGCTGAGCGAGAGGACTGCGTGTCGAACCCCGTGTACGATCCGGACATGTGCGGGTTCACGTCCCACGCCAACTGCACTCCGCTCAACGGCTGCGGTAGCTGGTCAATCTTCCCCTACATGATCAGGTATGCTATTGCTGTCGCTTTTCACTACTCTTAGCAAATATAGCTTGTAGTAGGGAGTTTGGTCGTATCGCATGTCTTGCCCGGAAGGCGTAAGTATCTTGGTAAGCGGTGGCGTGCTCATTTTAAGCCTACAGTGTTGAGAAGAAGACGCCCCCCCACCCTATGCGACGCACCTCGCTCATCGCCAACTGTTTTTTTGTGTATGAAGCTCTCATCACTGCGATTGATGGAACCTCAGGGGAATCTCCCTCGCCAACATGGGCCCATCTCCCCCATCGAACTACTACTGGTCACTACTGTTCATAAGTAAATAAATGAAGTACAGTCTCCGGTGTGTGTGCATGCCTGAGATTCGGTTAAAGACGCCACGCGTGTCTGGCATGTATGGCGGGCTGCGGCGCTTACCAGGACATGCCTCCTTTCACGCCTCACCCGATACCATTCCCTCTTACCCTACCGCTTTCGTGGCAACCACCGCATCAATCCGATCCAGCTTCACGCTCACCATCACGTACGTCTTCATGAACCTGTTCATCGGAGTCATCCTCGACGGTTTCGACGCGGCCTCCGCGAGCGACCATGACGTCATCAAACAAGAGGACTTCGCGCGCTTCGCCAGCCATTGGGCGGAATTCGACCCTCGTGCCACGTGCTTGATCTCGGTCCAGGTATTTTACGGCGCTTGGTGTTTTGGTATATAAAATTGAGTCTTTATCCAGATCATGGACTCTCATGCACGTTTTGAGTCCATTCCCGTTAACTGAACTCTGCGAGAAGCCGAAACTATCTCCAAACGGTTGCCACCCATCGACTTCCGATTCGTTTAGCCCACACGTTTGTCTAGCTTGCAGTAAAATACACTCGAAAGTCCAGGGTATTACACACGGGGCGTAAGAAATGGAGCCAACGCAGCAGCTTGTACATTGAGGGGAGATATGTGCCGTCCAACAACTGCTAACCTCGGCCTACGGCGGTTCGTCGGTCCGCTTGCTGCATTTGACACCAATACAACAGGACTTGCACGACTTCCTACAAACCTTGTTCGCGCCATGGGGATTCGGTAAGGACTACCAGGCGTCAGACCGGGAAGTGCGCGCCCACATTAGACGCCTCAAGCTGCGCATCTTCAACGACAACAAAGTGCACTTCAAGGCGAGTTTTCTTGTGGGCAACAGAGTAGTGTTCATGTGGTTCCAGGTTGATGTACCGTTGTCGCAACTCTGTTTGGCCTTTGATTGTATGTTCCGAGCAATTCTGCCTCGTCGACTGGTCCTCCTTGTATGTTTAGCCCGCGGTTTCAACGACTGCCGCCTGCGCTGTCCTGGGGTTTCCCGCAAGGACTTCCCCGAGAGCGTCTCGTTCAACAGATGCAACCATGAACACAGGCATCTAAACAAGAAGTTCCCCCCGCCCCTGCCCCTTCCATCCCCCTTGAGCAGGATGTGCTTCTCGCGCTATCCGAGGAAGTCCATCGCTTGGAGGCCGAGAAAAAGGGAGCTACGATTGACCTGCCACAGTACTTCCAGACGAAGGCAAGTGTTTCAACAGCACCAGACCAGATATTCAGGACTCGATTTTGACTGAGTTTGCGCAGACATACAGCGAGTCGATTTGCTGAGGCACGCGTCAATCTCTTTGTCGAACCTTGTAGTTGTGGTGTCCTTTAGTAGGCGTGTCTTGTAGACAAGACAAAATCTATCGCACCTCAACTTCGGTCCACGACCCAGTGCGTCCCCATCAACAAGCCTTCGGGCCTGTACAAAAAACCCACCTGAGCAGCAATACCGCACGTCTGCCTTGCAGAATATACACCCTCTTCCCAGCCCCCCACTCCCGCCCCCTGCGTTGATGTTCTGCAGCTGGCCACTGGATGGCAGAAGACGTCGGGTATCAATAGTCACGACTACATGGTCAACCCAGTTTCGGGAGGGACAGTCACACTTGACCACATCCTGGCCGCGGAATTTATCCAGAAGGCGTTCCGACGCTTCTTGGAATTTAAGTGAGTCGCCAAGTAAAGGTTGGATCGCAAAACAGCGTCAATTAGAGTACCTACCCCTGGCGAGGACGGCAACCAGGGAGTGGTCTTGTATCAAGATTCTGTGAATATACGCTGGAAAAAGGGATAATAACGCGCTTTGGGGTCCCAGGTGGTAGGGTCCAGGTGATTGACATGCAAATCGCTAGCGAAAGCTTTCCAAGAAACCCGCCGCTGGAAAGAGTCGTTTTGTTCCACATTCGCATTCCACCGAATCCCGGAAGAGAACAAAGGATAAGAATGCACCGTTGCTGCACGCCTTGTCCCCCACCAGGAGGTTGACTGAGGAGCAGCGACGACGCACACAAGAGCTTGAACCTGCAGGATCCAACATGACGAGCATCAATGAAGGGAGAGGCGGCGTCGTCGACGACCGAGGAAGTGTCTCAGAGGGGGGGCGAGGAGATATTGGGGGGCAGGACGACATGATACCCAGTTCGATTGGTAAGAGTAGGGAGACGGCAAGGCCGGTCGGAGGGAGCACAGCGGAGCGATCCGTCAGGGTGGCTTCTAGTGGTGGTGATGGCGAGTGGTCCGTACAATCCGTGAACATTGGAAATGATCACAAGAAGAGTTCTCTGCCCAAGTTAGGAGAGACAAGAGAAGGGGGAGGAGGGAGGGGTGGTGGGGATGGGGCAGGTAAATCCGTCAGCGGGGCGCCGGAAGAAGTGCGAGCGTCGTCGGGGAAACGGTCACGAAATTCCCGGCACAGGAACAGCACTCGAACACCCAGGAAAGGCAACGGGGATGGGGACGAAGGAGCACCATCGTCTCCAATGTCCTCGGCGAAAGGCGCCAGAAACAGCGAAAGATTGCAAGTAGGCCTAGGGGATCGGGACGGGGAGAGGGAAAGAGGCGCCAGCGGGATAATGGGGGCCGAGGGGAGAAGAGAGTCAGCGGGGCACGACAAAGATGGTGCCGAGCGGATAGAGATTAGTAGGACAAACTTATCACCAAGTAGCATTTCATCCTCGATCTCAATAGCGGCCTCAGGATCGTGCTCTATTGCTTCTGATCGGATAGAAGTCGAGTCACGGTTATTAATTGATTCCGGCCACAACGGCGGTGGCGGTGAGACGCGGGAGAATCGTACGGCAGGCGGGGAACAGAGGGCGCCACCGCCGCGGCTTGACTTGTAGTCCCAGAGGAATTGTGTTGCTGTTGGTTCCATTAGGAGGGATATACCCACGCTTTTGCGCTGGACAACTAGCAAGTGGCAGCGAGTGTGGTAAGGAGTGCAATGTTTCCGTGGTTGTCTTCGACAGCGGGGGGGGGGGGGGGGG